CCGCCTCTCCCTGGGATCCTGACCTGGGACTCCTAAATACAGGGAATTTGTCATAGCTGGATTCTTGGGTCCAATTCTTTGAGTGCCACTTCTATCCTAGAGCTGAGAGGAGGAAGCCAGAGGCACTGCTGGCAGCTGCAGTTAATTCCTCTCCCCAAGTCTAAAGGTGCCGAAGCAATAGTCTTTCTGCTCCCTGGAATGAGACTATGTATTTTCCCCGTGGTGCTGGGGCACATGTTAGTTACTAAATAGCAGTTATTATGGACCAGGTACTTAAAAGCACATCTTTAAGTATAAGCTTCATGATAACAAAAAGGGCAGACACCATGATATTAAGGTTGGAAACTTCTATGATTTCCAAGCTTCTGTAACATGAACTACTTTTATAATGAGAAAAAGCTCAATAGATTCATTAATTTTTAAAATATTTCTCAAAATTCCTCTTCCAAAGTCTTACCTCTTCAACACCACCCAACTTTATTCACTTTTTTCCGGGACTCATCTTGTAATTTCATTTGTACTTGTGGAGATGTTCTTTCATTATAGTACATACATTCTGTGCCACCACTTTCAGATCTTTCTTTTGAGTGGAAACCAAATCCCCTGACTTTTTCTTGTCTCAGAGGGCCTGGTACCATCTAGTACTACTCAGCCCTCAGCCCTCTGCTGAGCTTGGGGGTAGAGATAAACCAAATTTTGTTCTACTATCGAGAACCTCATTGTTCTATAAAGGAAGAGGATAAGCCACCAGAACAAACCAACAGTGTGCCTTCTTTGCCTTGTGTGCCCTGGAGGAATAACACACAAGGGACAGATGTTCTGAAGAAGCCATAGGGCACTTCTTTTCCCCAGCTCTGCCCCCTTATTAGTCCCCTGAGGGCTATGTGCCATGATAGGGATCTGAATTATTCCCAACACTGATAAAAGCCCTGACCTTCATCTCTCAGCTTTCTTCACTAGTAAAACAGGGAAGGTAGCACTAATGTGCCCCATGATGGGAGCAGCTGCTCTACCTGTAAGAGGCAAGTCCTATGTATTAGGCAGGATAAAGTCACTGTTCTCTTAGGGAACATTGCCACTTACCCAACCCGGTGTCATTCACAAATCGTTTCCCTAGTAAATCTATTTGTTGGATGCGAGCCTGTGACAGGACTTGATAGTGATCACTCAAGTATTTATGCCAGATCTCTGACACCTGTTGGGAAAAGAGAATGCAATCAGACCAACAAGCCAATTTCAGCTGCGGGACATGCGCGAGTGCGCAGCTCTTGAGGCCAGCTTTCCTGAGTCTGAAGCTCTCTCTTTTATTGTGTCTGGGGACAGAGGGAGCCTTGTGAGCCCAAACGGACCCTGCCAAAGTGAGTGTGACAAGAGATGGGCTACAGAGGGCACATAGCAGGCTCCTCTGGGTGTGAAGCCTAATAAAACTTGTGGGGCACATTTGATACTAAATACTTATGGTCTTACAACATCCAGTGTGTTGCTACTGTCATTTTACTTGTAAATAAACTGAGGCTTATCTTCATGATAAAGAACATCTGAGGAAATTTATGACCACCAAACCAGCACTCCCAAATGTTTTGAAGGACATTTCTATTTTTTTTTGGTTTTTCTCCGGTACCGGGAACCGAACTCATGACCTTGCGCTTGCCAGG